AACACAAATAGGGAAACACACCCAGAGATACACTTACTAAAACCCTCAAAACGAAAACTCCCTTTTCCCTCAAGTACCGCACTAAATCAATCCCTGCTGGCCTTTCACAACTAACTCGAACCCTTGGGTCCCTTTCCGGGAGCCTCCAATGTATGTACCTGATCTAATCCCCTCTTCTCAATGTGCTCCAAATTAATCCCCGCTCTTGAGCTCCATATATCATATCATTCAGGGTTTCGCACCCTGGCACACTCACCAGCTCAATCGTCAACGATTGAACTGCAATAGTTGGAGCAACCTCTGCTCTATACCAAGCCACTAACCATCCCAAAGACATAGTCTCCAATCCCAAAAGTGCAATAGAACGCACAATCAATATGTTACGTCCGATACAAGAGATCCACGACGAACTCAAAACCCTGGCAGTCCTTCCACTAACTGGCTCACTACCGGAGCCGAGACCAAACCCTGGTCCTTCCCCTTGCATGCTCATCCACATTCTGCATAGCAACTATCCCCACTATTTGAACATAACCAAGAATTCCCCTTCCTATCAGCTTCTTAGATTCTCCAACACTCTCACTTATTCGAGTATGGATCATGTACTTTCAGTAGTACGGACCCATACTACTTTCCACACCTATCCATACTTTCCTCAACGATCCTCCCGAATCCTCTAAGTCACCTACCCCACTGATGCACTGATTATCTACCAACAACAACACTTTATCCACCGAAGCACCCCCTACGCTCTTAACCTCACTGAACTGCCTCTACTAAGCTAACTGGAACATATCCTAGGCTTTCTTAGGTTCTCAATCTCGCCCTGGCATTAGCTGTTAAAGAACTCCCCACAATGCCTGTCCTCTACTTCTTGTATATCGTCACAATCACCTAGTAGCTAACTCCCATCATTTAAGAGTTCCACAAAGAATAAAGAAATCACCATTCATGCAGATGCACTCTGACCCAAAGAAATGCCATAAATATTCAGCCCACATATCGCTACTCACGTTATCCACATCCATCCATCCTCACTGTCGGCTGCCTTATGCATGAAAATTATACACAGAACAGGATCTAATAGATTGTCGAATAATAGACTCTACCTAAGGACTACAACCAAACAAGGAACAGGAAATAAGGCCAAATCAATTATTCTAAGGCGATAAGATCCTAATTGCATACAATTTTAAAAGCATACACATAGCAGTTACAATACCAATTATCATTCTCAGTCCAACATGTCATCCAATATTCTCGCGGTTAAAAGCATCACATATCAGGCCAACCTATTGTTGACTACTCAGCACAAACATGCAAGTCTACCATCTCATACAACATATAAAGGCATCTCCCCTAGCCGTAACTAGCATGCGATTCATAGATTCATAATCAAATCATAATAGACAACATATGTGGGTAGTTTGGGAAACTTGCTTGAGCTCGGCTGATTGCATGCACCACACCCTTTCTTGTCTTAGAAATTCTTTACTTAAAAAAACATTTCCTTTTGAAAACTTTACAGATCCTCAGTTTGAGTTTAGACTCACCTGAAAGTATGTCCGAATCCCTCAAACCAAGGCTCTGATACCAACTTGTAATGACCAAAAAATCAAGGGTAAAAGTTTTATTTTTAATATAGCTAAAACATTGATACCATTTATTTCCAACACCTCAGGTCATCATTAAGAAAAAAATTTATCAGAGTTCATCCCAAAACCAATCATTGCAAAATCATAGGTGTGTGCACTACGATCAATCCGAGCCCTTCATTTCGAATTAATGAAACCTGAAACCAAAAACTGTAAACCGTACACACAAAGCTTAGTGAGTCCCCCATAGCATACCCACACACAATCCACATAACACATAACATATTAACTTTAAAAGCTTTCTCTACCGCATACCACATATCATATTAGCTATAAAACTTATCTCTAGCACATAACACATTAGCTACAAAGGCTATCTCTACCACATATCATGTTAGCTACAAAGGCTATCTCTACCACATATCATGTTAGCTACAAAGGCTATCTCTACCACATATCATGTTAGCTACAAAAGCTATCTCTACCACGTATCCCTGCATAAGGATGCCATGGGCTCCCCCACATGGTCTTACACCTAAGTGCCATGGGCTCCCCCCATGGCCTTTCCCTACCGGACATCCATGGCCTCCCCCACATGGTCTTACATCCAAGTGCCATGGGCTCCCCCATGGTCTTTCATGAAAATATCACATAACAAATAGCATAGCATAGCATAAAGCATATAATCGACTGGCATACCACATATCACTACATCAACTAGTGTACCACATAACTCTACACAACAAGTATACCACTACAAAATGGGCCAACCTTGGTGCCTTAGACCCATTGGTATGGTGAGAAGACTCACTTGGCACTACTGAAGTCTCGCGGATGAACTTCCAGCTGTTGGTTGACAAATTCTCGAACTGCCAACATCAAACAATACCCAATTAATAATCGGGTTCCAATGCATAATCACAACTCCATACTTGGGGTAAAAGACTACTTTACCCTAACTCAGCTTTATTTAGTCCAAGGCCCAATCCAAAGGCCCAAAAGTCAAACCATGGACCAAAGCCCAACATATGGCCTAATTTTCCAAATTGGGCCCAACCTTTACATGGTCTCATTCAAAGGCCCAACCATTTAGTCCAGTCCAATATTTGGTATTTCTAATGGCTCAATATCTCGTAATCATATAAGCCCAAAATATGGCCTATATATGGCCCAATTTACCAAATTGGGCCCAAACCCCTTACATGGGCCTTGCCCTAAGCCCATTAGATTATGTGAGCCCAATTTCTTTTTCTTGGTTGACCCATTATTATCCTAATCATCAAAGCCCAATAGAAAGGCCCAACTTAAGGCCTAAGTGAAATTATAGTTTCACATAAAATGATGATTATGCTGAAGTATCCCTACTTAACCCTGTAAGGACTTAATTCATTAAGTCCCGCATGGTCTTAGGTTAATTTTCAATGATTATTAGTTAATATTTTAAGTTCATTAAATAATCCCGATGCGGTCTTGATAAATCCCAAATTATGGTTTTCATGACCTTAGGGTTTTCCAAACCTAGTTAGGGTTTCCAACCCATCTTAGCCCAATAGGACCAATAGCTAGGTCCTTTGATCAATTAGGGTTCGTTAGGCCCATTAGGAATTTATTGGGCCCATTAGGGTTTCAAGCATCCCAACCAAATCAAACACGACAAAGTAAAGCATATCGCCACCCAACACGGCGGCCGGTGGCGACAGCCACCATCTCACGGTGGTGGTTAGGGTTTCTTTTTTTTTCAATATTTCACTTTGTAATACATTTTACAAGGCTTTAGTCCTAAAATAAAACACACACAGCTAAGCTAAGCACACACACAAACACAAAACGACCTTGAAGGCGAGTGATGACAGCCACCACCACTCGGTGGTGGTAGTAGGGTTTTCCTTCGGATCTCCAGCCAAAAAGTCATTCCAGCAGCCTCACACCATCACCACAATCGAACACAAACACCACAAATCACATATGGCCATGAACGAGTCCATCCATCCCTCCTGGTGGTGCAAAACGACTGCGACAACGGCATATAACAACGGCGGTAGCGGCGATAATCTTCATGCATGATTGCAAACAGAGATGGAGGGGAGTTTACTGTGGGGAAATGGTGACAATCCACCTCGAAAAAAATAACTACAGCAGAACAATAGCCTCTGGCAACAGCAATGACGTTCACAACGTCGAACACCTAGAGGAATGACGGCAAGAAGATATATATATATATATATATATATATATATATATATATATATATATATATATATATATATATATATATATATATATATATATATATATATGGCAGTTAGGCCCACTGGAACCCCTTAGCTGTTCACGGCTCACAACTCGCCGTTCACAGCACCATAACCGAGATATCGGTTCTCTTCCGGTTGCCCGCGACATCCGGCGACAAGTTAACCGATGGTTGCACTTGGCGACGACGCTTTTGGTGGTTTCCAGTATCAGCAGGTAAGGGATGATGACCGATGATGGGGGTCTTGAGGTTTACGGCTGCAATAATGGGAAATAAGGGTCGTGCGGCTGAGGATCTCCTTAGGTTTAGGGTTTGTAATGCTTATATACCCGACACACAAACATATTGCCATAAAGTCAAGATCAGCCCCTCCAACCAGAAATCATTTCATAATAAGTCTACAAATTACCATTTAAACCCTGACCCTTGAATTCCTTTACAAAATAAGTCTGAATTTTACTAAACAATCCCCATCTTCTAAAATCTTTACAAAACTAATCCTAAAATTTACCTTTTTAACCCTGCCTATATAAATCCTTAAATATTAAGTCCCAATAATACCAAACACCCCTGGACTTCTAAAATCCCTTGAGAGGAAAGTCTTGAGCTTACATTTTAACCCCCCAAATAATCCAATTTATAACATTTGACTCCCGAAAACCAATAATCCCCTAAATAATATGAATTTTATGCGACTATTTGGTCATCAAATTTTATATATTTATTTATTAAATAAATAGAATGTTACAACTCCTATAAAGCACGTGTAGGGATCTTGGGGTTACTTTCAACTTGATGCAATATGTTGTTAGCTAGAAGCTTAGATGAATATGCCCTCACTGTCCTTGTTTGCAAACAAGAATGACAATCTTCGTATGTTTTGACTGTCCAAACTTTTTTTTTTCATCTGCCCTAGATATAAAAAGAACCCATGGACAAGTTGTTTTCTTGGAAAGTTCTAAATTCCCCTACCTTTATTACTATCACTAGTCAATTCAGGGACAAGACCCCTACACTTTACCCTAACTATTGTCTTGTCATTCTTTACATAATGTAGATCCCTCCTTTCTTTTACAGAGTAGTTGGAAATAAGTTCTTTGGTCTTTTCCTTTTCCTTGAACGTATGTCCAATCTTAAAAGCTTTAGTGTGAACCTCACCAGATAAACAAGCAACTGGTTTTTAGAATGGACTTTAACAATTTCTTTCTAGGCTCTTGTTCACTAGAAGATGACTCAAACCCATCATTATCTAAGACTTCTAAAGGTTCATCTTCAATGTCTTCATGTTCCTCTGTATTATTGTTTGTTAGATCAGGCTGCCCCAAGTCAATGTATTCATCAAGTACATTATAGAAGTGGATCATGTTCACCTCCACATCATCTATTAAAGGTTCCTCATTAAACACTATTTTTTTTGCATCATGCTGACTATCAAATTCACTTTCATTTGCACTATCCATACAATCATATTCATCATCTATAATTGGTTCATTATCCATAATTGGCTTATCATATTCATCATCTATGATTGGCTCATCATTCATAACTAGTTCATCATTCATGACTAGCTCATCAGTCATGACTAGCTCATCATTCATAACTGGCTCATCATCCATAACTGGCTTATTACCCTATATCACTTGTGAAGGTCCACCAAATGTTCAATATGGCATAATGGATTGGGAGTAGTCTAATTTTTTCCTAGAAGATACAACAACTGTTCCCTTCTTTTGGTTCCTATCTAATTCAGGGGACACATCATTAACCAACTCCATAATAATAACCTTGGTGGGGGACAAAAAATAATTGTTAACCCTTGTATGCCCATGCTCTATGTAGATACTTAAAAGGTTATTTTTTTCCACATAATTTGACAATACATGCACATCCCCATCATTTCCTAAATGTAAGAGATCAAAGTCTAACTCTACTTCTGGAATAAGAAAATGATAATACAAAGTTTGCCCTTCTACGTACCCTATTTCTTGAACCATTGTACCCAACCCATGTATAGAGAAAACGTCAATATCTACGAAGTCAACATAGTCTATTGTTCCATATACGTACCTTCTACGAAGGCTTTTCGTGAATATCCCACCATGATGGATTTTCAGTGTGAAATAGTTGCTTATTCCCTCTAAAATAAAGAATAACAAAAAAAATTTCAACTATTTGGGCGTAATATCAAATCGACAAAATCAAAGATCACTTTACTAAGTCACTTGCAGTATATCCTTTCCAAATCATAGTTTGATTCTTTTGTGTGTTTGGAACGAACTGGCTATAACATTATCACCATCATCGTTTTCAATCGAACTGGAAGATGATCCTCACCTCGTGTTGTGTTGGAGAAGACGAAGATGAATGCGAAAGGGTAATGGGTAGTTGGGGAAGATGATCTTTGTACTTAATTGCAGAGATCATGAATATATTATGTGCATAATGAAGGATTATTACAGTGGCTGCAAGATGAAAAGACAAAATTATCCCTGCATTAACAGTACAAAAGTGACGGGGTTAGGGTTAAGGACTAATCGCGCAATAAACTGAAACCTTAAGGACCATTCGCTTGACTTTTTGTTAGGAAGTCCTCAAAGTGCGATATTCTATAAACCACCGAGACCAATTGTGAAATTTTGTCATCCGAAAATCATATAGTTTCGAAAACATGGATAGATGCGTTACAATAAAGCCGGACCCTTCCGTTTTGAACCGGAAGTACCTGAAACTATAACCATAAAAACCGTAAGCATAAAGCTTAGCGAGTTCCCCAAAACACCATATACCATACATACCATTGGGCATAGCCCGCACATTGGGCCCAACCCACCATAATGGGCATATCCCTTCTAAATCAATCGGCCCAACCCGACATACAAATGTGAGAGTCACAGAGACAAATAGCAGCCAACATAACAAACTGTCACACCCCAAAACCACGAACGGCGGAAACGTTCAGGGGTGGAGGACGTCATGTACAGTATCTCAACAGTGTAATATAATAAACAAGTAATAACATCATCCATTGCATTATAAGTAAAGTTTTAATACATGTGTGTTCTTTCATTGTAGTAAGACCCAAAAATATACAATCAAAATAAAAGACGAGATTTGTCTGCTCCGTCTTCTCAAAACCTAGCCTCCGTACTTGTCTACTGATGACCTGAGAATACAAGTTATTTTGAAAGCGAGTATCAGCTTTAAAGCTGGTGAATTCATAAGTATATAAGTGTCATTGCCTTGTTTGTGAAAAGCTGTTATGAAGGCCTTGTGGATCGTTAATTGAAAATGTTGATGTAAGTATGAAAAACCCTAGAAAATCCCTTATTTCCTATCAGTTTGAGATGTAGTCTTCTACCAAGACCCGAATGTTTTGTATGTAAAATGATAGTTTTCCTTTAATTTTTTAGTACTAAAGTACTTAGTCTAACTCATCGTTTATGTGAAAGTATCACAAAATAAAGTAAACTGGAAAATGTACTACTGCAAGTGTTGTCACTGGGTACTAGGACTAACACAACATATGTAACTGTTATCCCAAGGTACTAGGGTTAACACGACCTATGTAACCTAATGAACATCCGAAGATTGTCCAATTGTCCTCTGTAGCAGTAGCAAGGGGGGAGGAAGGGTTAGTCCCTGTAAAGGTACTCCTAGTATAAGTAATAACCATAGGCATCCGTAGATGTTCATCACCCACTGTTGCTAACAGATGGGTTCCGGAATGGTTAGTCCCGTCCGTATATCCCGAGGTACTAGGGATAGGGTCCTATCTAGATATCCCGAGGTACTAGGGATATGCAGGAAGATTTACACAGAAGGTACTAATAAATCATCCTCGCAATTCGAGATACAAGTATTCAGGTTAATGTACACAATTAAGTGTATCTACGTAAAGGTACTCATGTAATACGTTCATGTAAGCGTGTTCATGTATCATGTAAGTATATGTAAAGGTACTCATGTATCATGTAATCAAATGTAAAGGTACTTATGTATTAGGTAATGTACTGGTATAGACTCATGAATGAACTGACTCTCGTGTGATTCCTTGTAATAGGAATTATGTTTGATATCTCCAAATTATCCCTATGATAATTTACTGGAAGGTAATTGGTTGTTCAAGTAGGTTTATACACTCTTACTACTCAAGGGTGTGAGAAAGTAAATGAAAACTGTAAACTATAACATCAATACATATATAAGAATATAAGTGTACATGCATAGTTTAGTTCAATAATGTAAAATGGTTTTATAAGACATCTTATGGGTTTTGAACAATAATTAACAATGACTTGATGTCATTTTAATATACATTTCAAAGGTAAAACAATAGATAACAATGCGTTTTTAAGATTTAAAACCATTTCATGCATCACATTTTGTAGTGTGTGAAATATGTTAAATGACAACACAGTTATAAAATACATAACAATGATTTAATAACATGTTTGTTTCTACTTGTATTCCCCCCCCCCCCTTAAAGCATTTAAAATAATTTAAAACATTGATTAGGGGTATGAACTCACTTGATTGATTGAAGAAAGCGTGACGAAAACCGAGCAGAACTTCTACTCGAGAAAGCGGATCTCTCGAGATTCTCGGGAAATCTCGGGAGTCTCGGGAGTGTAAAACTTTCTTCCCACCTTGGATATGAAAACCGGGCCTTTGGGATGATTCCGAGGGTTGAAACGCAGAGCTTCGGCGCGAGAAAGGAAGGAAATTAGCAATTTTGGCCAGCACCCTCGCATCTCTATTTATAGGGGTTTGAGAGGTTGCGTTACGCGGGGCGTACTAGAGTACGCGCTGCGTACTCATGCATCATGCATGAGCGCATCCTCGGTCGAAACATTGGAGCGACGTGGACGAACCGAAGCCTAGCATCCGGGTACGCTGGGCGTACGAGGGATCGGACCGCTGACTCGTTCTTCAGATAATACCGGGTTTTAATTAAATTTATATTTTAATTAATTAGCAAACTTCAAAAACTCATATCTTTCTCATACGAACTCCGTTTTCGATGTTCTTTATATCCACGCGAAGGTGGGACTATGATCTACAACTTTCGTTTAGACTCCGTCGGCCATTTTTGACTTTATTTTTAATATTATATTTTTAATAGGTCGGGACAGGAAAAGTCCGTTAAAGTTCCATAACTTCTTCATCCGACGTCCGTTTTCATCAGACTTTTTACCGTTGCGCTAGTATTGTTGAGCCCTTCGATTCTCATTTAGATTGTGTCGGCTAAAAGTCTCTTGATCTCTATTTCGAGTTTTTAGCTGTCTACTGTTATATCTGTAACTTAGAAAAATCACAACTTCCTCATACGAAGTCAGATTTGGACGTTCTATTTATGTACGTTTACGGTTTGATGATATCTAAAACTTTCATTTAGATACCTAAGGCCAAAAACTATTGTATTGAAACTTCGCGTTTTACGTTTATCAATATTGCCGGCTTTACCGAGAATCTTCGATTGGCCATAACTTCTTCGTTATAACTCGAATTTTAGGGTTCTTCATATGTATGAAAACCTTGACACGATTCCTACTACTTTATTTAACCCAAATAAGATTCTAGGAAAGTTAAATTTTTATCTATATTTGACTGGTGTTACATTTTATTGTCTTGAAATATCGGGTTGTCACACAAACAATGGGCCTAGCCCTTCCTGATCCATTATCCCAACCTAACATACAAATGTGCCTAGCCCAACATACCATGCAAGAGTTACAAAGACAACTAGCATAACATATCCTAGTAGGTCGGTATTGGTGCCTTCGACCCATGGGTATAGTGAGGAGACTCACCTGAATTGCAAAACCGAATAACACTCAGCTCAAAACCGTATCGACCACAACTAACTGCTCTCCTACCAAAATATGGGTGCAAAACACCTCCTGCCAATCCACACAAGGCAAACCCTAAAACTTCCAAAAATAGAGATTGACCAAAAAGTTAACCCATACCAAAAGTCAATGATCAAAGTCAACGGCCATAGTTGACTTTAGATGACCACATGTCGTGACCTTCCTTGGCCACGGCGGGGCCTTCACCCAACCAACTTACGAGAAATTCCAAGTCTTCATGCCATGGTGACCTATGGTCACACCGTAGGCACTGGCTTTCCAACAACTTAATGGATTAAGCTGCCTTCCTCGATTCCAAGAGCTCCAAAGCTCAAATCTAGTCCAAACTATGGTCAAAATGAATAAAGTTTCCAACTTTATCCATTAAGACACCCAAAGAGATCAAGATCTCAAACCCTAGGTCAAAATAAAGCCAAAATCTATAATGTTTTAACCATTAAGCCCTTAATCCGAAAAACTCCTTAACCCCAACTCTTCCAAAAGCTAAAGGGGTACTAAAGGTCCATAAAAATGAATACTTGGTGGAAATCCATGACCCATGGATGTCCTTAACTCCACTTAGGTCAAATGGTAAGAAATGACCTAAAACTTATGCAAGATTCACAAATCACAACAAAACTCCAGATCCATAAGATATGATGCTCAAGGGACATTAGGGAGCAATAAAGTTGCTAACTTTATTCCATCAATTCACTCAACTCAACTCAATGAACCAAAAAGGGACCAAAATCACTTAGATTTAAGAG